GTTGTCCAGCATTTCTTCTTTCTATCAGTGTAAAGTACAAAGACACCTTGTGTGTGCATGCCCCATGTGCAGCTGATAGAGCAGAAACACCAGCACTCTCTGACGGGCGGCACTGGTGGTCGCAGCAGTTCAGGAGGGCACAGGAAGTCTTTCAGAGGCTTAGGGGGCCCAGTAAGCTCAGTTGTGCCCTATAAATCAGCGCTCGGCTGTGATGAGGGCAGAGGTAAAAGAAACGGCCAGCAAAGCAGATGATGTCCTATGACCAGTCTCAAAAATGCCAGGTAGAAACTGCCCTTGAGAGTTCCTTTATCTCCAGGGGCTGCAAAATGAGTGGGATGGAGGGGGTGGGGTGTAAATAGACCCTATGTGGTTTTATACTGTCCTTATATTTATTCTCTTTATTCTTTGTTTTCTGACGATAGAGGCGCTTTATGTGGCTATTGTAGCAAAGGAACTGATGAGTCATAAGGTTCGTTTTTCCTTCCACTCTTCGTCCTTTTCCTGACATCCTCATCTCCCTCTGCCCTTCCATGCTGTGCCTTTAAGAAGAGTGGTTTTTCCAAAGACTAATTCCTGAGCTTTGGCATGTGCTTAGGCATGCCCCAACTTTTGTGGTGTGCTTTATGAAAAACTGCAGTGGGGAGCTTTTTAACTCCTTGCTGCCATAGGTGTGCTTTTCCTCTTTGTTCTTTGCTTGCAGAGCATGCACTGTTCAGCGTTTCTGTAACGATTTCTGTGCTCTTCCCCAAAAGGGAAGGGGATATATATGCATACACATATAAATATACGTATATATTTTTTCTCCAGTTAAAATTTGTATTTATTCAGTCGCTTTTTACATGCCAAGGCTGTGCTGAATAAAGCTGACATGGCAGATTCTCTTCCTCAATTATGTCCCCACGCTTGCACCATTCCTTCCGCAGTGCTAACCTGTCAGCAGAACAGCTGACCCACAGTGGTAACAGCATTGGCAGCTTTATTAAGGATTTTATATATTGTGAATTTCCTAGGGTCCCTGCTCATGAACATTATTTTTTGTTTTTCTTTCCCATCTCATAGCAGTCCATAGGAAACTTGTGAGAAGCCAGCAAGATTGTATTGTAGAAACTGGTATAATGTTAAGTAAATACAATGTAGGGTTTTTTTTTTCTTTTTTTAGACAAATCTCATTTTTTGAAACTGTTTGGAGGAGGTCTGCCTGGAATTTTGCTGACAGTTTCAAGGCCCCAGCTCCCAAAGGATTAGTGCAGGCGTTACAGGCACATCAGCAGTAACTGCAGAGTTATGCAGGATCATTATACGTAAACAATATATACTGGTGTTGTTTGAGGACTGCAGGCGGTTCCAGGCAAGCAGTGTTGTTGCCCTGCAGGATGCCTGACTTCATCTCAGGCTCCTTGGAAACAGAGGGATGTACCACAGTCACCCATGGGATGTGGGACCCCATATGAAAGAAAGCAGTTCTGAGTAGAGACAGGCCTGGTTTGATGGGGAGATGCTGGAAGGGTGGGAGCAGGTGCTGGCGCTGGGTCTTCTGCTGCACTGAGGTAGCTGTGGGACTTTGTTGAAATCACTTAACCTTTGTGCCGCAAGCTTCTTGCAAGTAAAATGACATTAGCACAGGGTACCGTGTACAGAGATTAACCAAATTAATGGAATAGTGCTTTAGAGCCTCGGCTCTACAAGTGTGCTGAGCCAAGTTGTTCTTTTTAAGAAGCTTGTTACCGAGCCCATGGAGGGCCTCTGCCTGCCAGCCTCCCCCTCCCAGCCACCCTGGTCAGGGCTCTCAGCCCTCTTGGGGGACAATAGTGAGTGCTCTCTGCCATTCATCCCCTCAGTCACTGGGCTGTGATTACTTCACCAGTGACTCCAGAGGAGCAGCTGCCTACAGGCCCCATTGAAGAGTACTGCATCACACTCTGGCCACCCTGACCCTGCAGCATCCCCTGGGAAATGTGCTGGAACAAGCACTTCAAACACCAGGCTCCCTTGGCATCTCTGCTGCCAGCTCTCTGGGTAGCCTTGCACTTCACCTTTTTCCTCTTCACTGGGAATACCAAAGTGCGGATCCTGTGTTCTGCCTTAGTACCCCAGAGCTCTTCAGGCTGAATTAATGAATGCCATGAAGTCCATGATGTGCCAGGACGTACAGCAAAATGTAAATGTGAAGTAGTGCTTTGTAATTATGGGTGAGGTAACCCTTGTTGAGAGTGATTCGTTTTATCATAAGTCAACATTTGATCAGGTGGAGTCATAGGAAGGAGCAGGAAGCATAGACCAAGCCTGCCCTCTTCTACCTTTGTCAGAAATGTTTCAGGAAACCGGAATGCTGCTTTTCCCTTGTGCTGTGTGCTTGCTAGATGCTGAGTCCAGTACTGGCTAAGGATGGGGTGGCATGAAAACAGTCTGAGTGCTGTGTATGTTTCAACATACAGAGGGAAAAAAGATTTTTTTTGACAGGACAAGGAGGAATGGTTTTAAACTAAGACAAAGGAGGTTTAGGTTAGATATTAGAAGGAAGTTTTTCACACAGAGGGTGGTGACACACTGGAACAGGTTGCCCAAGGAGGCTGTGGATGCCCCATCGCTGGAGGCATTCAAGGCTGGATGTGGCTCTGGCAGCCCCATCTATTGAATGGTGACCCTGCTCATAGCAGGGGGGTTGAAACTAGATGGTCTTTGAGGTCCTTTTTAACCCAGGCCATTCTATCATTCTATGATGATTCTATGATTTTTCTTCTCTTGGGACTTGGTGCTTTATGAGGAAGCCAAGCACTGCTCTTTGCAGTGCTGGCTGGCGCATCCAGCATAACAGCTCTTTGGATTTGATCAATTTATGAAGTGGAGGATTTTGAGAGGAAAAAAAGGCAGATGAAATATTATTATGTAGCTGCTGGCGTGCTGGCATCGTTAGGGTGCAGTACACAAAAACTTCAGTATTGCCAAGGAAAGAAAGAGTTAAAAAAAATGCAGAGGTTTAATTCAGGATAATAACATTTGCAAGGCCTGTCGAATTGACAGCACGTGAGCAACACAAAAGCAACCAAGCTAGGTGGAAAATGAAATTAGATGGAATCCTATTGCCAGAGGTTTGTCTAACTTGTGTCCCTTAAAGGAGGAGGTGCACTTTTATCGGAAGCTTCACCTCCAGGCTGGTCTCACTGGCTGTGTTGTCCACAGAAATTGGATGCCCTTCATCCGCTGTGAACAAAGCACTGTTCTGCTGTGTCTACTTTTGGTGGCTGATTTGTCTCATTCCTCAGAATACAGCAGTGTATTGTTGTGTTTGTTTCCCTTAGTGGCTGTGTACACAGTAGATTGTTGTTTGTCTGAGGGATTCACACATCTGGAAGAGACCAGGAATAGCAGTGCCTTTGTCCATAAGTCAGATTTGGAGCTGGAGGTCCCTTCCAAAATGCAAAGTTACGTATTGTCTGCTGCAGTGCTTGTTTGTGTACTCAGATTTTTGGATTGGAAAGGGCAATGAGTATTAGCACTGAGCCAAACAGTGGATACTATTACTACTACTAAAACTAGTGCAAGGTAAAAAATATATATATTTTTTTTTCCTGTGCAATTCAGCTACTACTTCCCACAAAGGTACTACCAAATATAATTTTGGGAAGTAGATATTGATACACAAGAAGCTTGGCTGAGTTTTGGTGAGTAGCGAAAGAAATTAGCTATTACTGAGATATTTCAATAACTGATGCAGAGAGGGCAGATCTCATGGTTGAAAAAACAAATCAGTTCTCCTGTTATATCATCCTTGAGATACAATTTGAGCACAAAAAAATCTACTTGTAGCCTGGATCTAGACAGTAAGTTATCACAGATGAAAACAGAAAAGGAGAAGACAAGTCCTTCTGTACTGCAGCCCTCTTCTCTGCCAGGCTGAGCCCTCACAGCTCTGACCAGATGCTTTGCAGTGACAGGAGTGGTCGTTGCACTGCAGCTCACTCTTGTTGCAGCCTGCATACTTTCTGAGGGAGCTGTCGCGGTCCTGTTAGCTCCTTCCCCACTGGGGAGTGAGGCTGTCCTGGGCACAGAGCAGAACCTGGAGTGAGCAGCAGCAAACTGAGCGAGGTGGGATCTTGTAGCAGCATAGCCTCAGCCCCAGTGCTCTGAGAGATTTCTCCTTTGAACATAAGGCACTTAGGGCTTCTAAAGGAGCTTGCTATGCCCCAAGTCATGCAGTTGCTACATTATTCTACAAAGAGACAGAAAGACCAGCCATCAGACTCACCAAAAACTCCTCAAAAGGGCAAAACCACACTTCCAGTTTCCGTCCTGCCGCTGTTCTGTGAGATATGAGCGCTCTTGGTGCCGCGGTACTGTGTGTATGTCTGTACGAGTGAGGCAGCGAGAGCACATGAGTGCAGTGTTGTAACATGGCAGGGCACAGGCAGTTATGAAACTTTCCAATAAACTCTCTGCGCGTCAGTATTGGTTGCTTGGGTGTTTTTTTTTTTACTTTGTTTTTTTTTTTTTTTTTTGTGTGTGTGTGTCTGTTGCCTCCAGTTTCATTTCCATCACGATCTCAGAGAGGCGGGCTCAGCAGAGCTAGCAGGGCTGGGCCCCAGGGGAACGCAGGTCCCGGGGCAGGTGGAGCGCCCCAGGGCTCTGGGCCCTGGCTCTGGAGTGGGAGCAGCCCTGTGCTGGGGGCTGGGGGCTATAGGGGCCCCTTCAAAGTGCCTGAGCCGCAGCCGGGAGCTCGGCTTTTGTTTTTTAAAAGGACTGGAGAAATTATTAACCACAATTCATGACGTCAGAGTTGATCTGATTAAAGGTTTGTTTTCTTGCTGGCAGAGGTGTGCTCCGTAGAGACTGGTTCTCTCTTCTTTTTTTTTTAAGTTTCTTTTTTGAACAGCAAACGGAGGGAACTGCTCGCATTGCTGCTGCTGCTGCTGCTCCAGCTGCGCGTGTGTGTGTGTAAACAGGATGGTGTATCTGTAGCTGCCACGCGCAAACACACATTTGACCATGAGGACTCTTCGCAGGTTGAAGTTCATGAGTTCGCCCAGCCTCAGTGATCTGGGCAAGAGAGAGCAGGCAGCCTTGGATGAGCGGGGGACCCAGCAGCGACGGGCCTGCTCCAACGCTACCTGGAACAGGTAAGCTCCTGCACCATGTCCTGCCACCCCCGGGCTGCCCCGTGCTTGCCAAGAAGGCACAGGCAGCCTGGCTTGCTGACACCCTGAATGGGTGAGAGCTAGCTGGGCTCTGCCTTGGTGCATTCCATGGATATGTGCTTCAGCGAAAGGCCAGAGTAGCTTGTATTCACCTTGCTGTTAGACTTTCTTTGCAGGCTGATAGCAAGCAGTGCTTCCTGCAGATGGTTCAGCCCCTCTGTTGTGACAGGCAAGGACTCGTTGCAAAAGATCTGGCTGCATGTAGGTCCTTGAGTCCATCTGGATATTCTCATTCAAAGTGGATTTGGTTTATTTTACTCAAAATTTATATATATATATATATATATATATATATATATATATACACACAATTAATACAATTCATATATATACATTCATATATATATAAACAATTGTATATATACATTATATGCAAAAATATATTTACAATTATTAAAATTCATATATATGTTATTTTTATCCACATGACTGTACTGTTGATGGTTGATGCAGATTTGCTGAAATACTCAATTTATTCACTTCAGTGCACAAAGTTGTTTGTGTTTGTTTCTGTTTGCATGTGTGTTTGTGCACATGCATTTTGGGCAAGGAAAAACAGTCCTTGGTTGTGTTCTTATACATTTGAATTTTATTACTGTTTGGTAAAAAAGAAAATCGCAAACATTCAAACATATGATCTTGAATGAGCCACTGAGCAGAGATTCAATGAATAAAGAATGAAGTGACACTGAAAGATGAGTCTAAGCCTCTGAGTCCTGAGGACTGTGTCACTGCATGGAAAGTTTCACTCATGTTTTATAATTGTCTGGAGGTCACGGAAAGAAAAATAGTGGAGAACTATAGACACATTTTTAAAGGTATTTCAGTTTTAAGCAATTATAATAAGATTTTAAAATATCTCTCATCCCTCTCACCCATTGCTGTGTATTCATACTTGGATTATGAATTGGCTGTCTGCTGTCAGAGCACAGTGAGCACTGAAACTGTATGATAACAGAAGAGGCTGGGTACCTGCTCAGAAATACGTGCTGTTTGAATATCAGAGATGCTTCCCGTGTCCTGATGGTGGTGGTACTCAGGGAGGAGTCAGCAGGGAGGGGAGGTGCTGCTTGGTGTGAGCGAGGTGTCTGTGAGCAGCTGTGCCACTACTGTGTGTGAACCCTGCCCAGGCTGGCTTTCTGCTGGGGCTGCCTTTCCCCATGCACTGGTGGCTGTGCCATGTGTCCCCACGGTTTGGTGGCGTGAGACTTGAGACATCTGGTGCTGCCCTGCAAACCAAGTGGGCATCTCCATGTCTGCACTAGCAGCTCCCTGGAGCTGTGACGAGATACAGATGGTGAGCAGGTTGTGCTGCAGGGACGAAGGGGAGAGCCTTTAATTCTGATGCAATAGCACACCCCAACAAAGAGCTAGCATGAACAGATTGCCTGTGCTGCTGCGCTCTGTGCAGTACTGAGTGTGAGATCTTGCTGATCAAGGAAGTCAGGACACACCAGAAGAGTTTGCCCCTCTCGCCAGTCCTGGTTGTGCTATATTTAAATGCATTGTCGGTTCTTGTTTCTTGGCAGCAGCTTTGTCTGGGCGTGCCATGCAGGTATCTGCTTTGGAGAGAGGTATTGTACCCAGTGCATCAAAATGGTTTTAGGGAGAGGGAAAGCACAGCCCCATGGCAGGCCCTTCCCTGCATGGGACTGGTGGTGTTGTGCTTTGAGGTGGAGCAAGTCCAAGCTGCAGTCACAGTGCTGAGACTTTCTGTGGACTACTGCTTAGTCACAGTGGGCCATCTCTGCCAAGGACCTGCAGCCCCTCTTCTGCCATCAGGCTTTGTGTCACAGCAGTATGGCTGCCCAGAGACATCCCCTCTGCTGCCTCTCAGCACAGAGACTGCTGCCTTCTGAGGCCTAATGATAGGGCTTGCAAGGGGAAACACAGTGCCTGTTGTGGGAAAGGACAATTTCTTCCTCCGTAATACCTTTCCATCACCTGCAAACAGAAGTGCTGTAAAAATTCTTGGCACTGCTAGATCAAGAGAAATTGGTGATGAGCTGCAAATCAGGCTTTATATCACAGCTTCTTCTGAACCTGCGTTTCCACGAACCGCAGAAGATCAGTGCATCAGCTCACAGGTCGCATGTTAACTAGCAACCCGCAGCAACATAGTGGAACAATGCAGTTTCATTACAGCTCACAGAATTTGCATTGGATTAAAATAGCTTAGATTTTTTCACTAGAATTGTCTTCAATTCCTTCCCCCACTCCCCGCCCTCTTCTGCTTCAGGCAAAAACTGAGAGCTGAGTGCTGACTAAACCAATCGGACCAAGAAACCCAGAGTTTGTAATCCTGAGCTTGCTGCTGGGGCAAATAAAATCCAGAAAGTTTTTCTTTCTGAGCAAGCCAGCACAGACTGCCCAGATAAGGCTGATGCTGCCCAGGTTCTGCTGTGGATAAATCTCCAGTGGAAGGTGCTTCTGTCCTCTTGCTGTGTGAAAATGGGGAAGTTAAGGGGAATAAGGTGAAGGAGTAGGTAGTGATGGAAAGGCAAAGAGCACAAAGATGAGATGCTTGTTATGGCAGTGATGCCAGCAGTAAAGCCAAGCAGACATGCAGAATCAGAGTTTTATGGTTTGGGGTAATTTTTATAGGGTTGTAATGTGTGCAGTAACTTCTTGTAAAGTAATTTTTACAGTCACAGGAACCATATTTCATCTCCTACTTAAACATGAGTGGTTTTTTTTTTTTTCCGGATCATAGTGAGGCTTCTCTAGTGGAGAAAACATTCCAGACCTATTCCATATTCAATAGATACAGTTTGTATGGTAATAGATGCATTCATATATATCTACTATTTCTACGGGGAAAATTTCCTTCTTCCAGTATTTAGTATTTATTTAGAAATATTGTGAGATATTCATGCCTGTGTGAGGAGGACTGGCTTCTTTTTCCTCTCCCTTCAGTGGGAGTCCTCTGGAGAGCACTTACTTACATGGGTGAGAGCCAGAGGCAAGCTGCAGGGTGGGGAAGGGGGCAGGGGACTTCCCACTTGGCCATACCACCATCACACTAGTGCAGCATGCCGAGCCTTGACTGCTGCTCTAGGAACTGGTGGTGGGAGCTGCTTCCCAGAGCTCTCCAGACTCATCTGTACTTGTTTGAATGCAGGTATGATCGGAAGAGTTTCCATAATCTTACACTCCATAAAATATGAAATCTTGGTACACCTCAGGGAAGTCACTTCACCTGTCTTTCTCAACTTCTTCATAAGTCAAAGTAGTATTTAGAGTTGGTGAAGTTGGGGAACTAATGTCTCCAAAACTCTTTGAAGACAGTTTCACAGACCAGCTTACTTTCAGTTGTGTGATGCAGTGCATAATTACAGCCTATCCCTCTTTGCAGATTGCTTTACCTTGGCTAGAAATTTGAGAAACATCAGTGAACTAGCAGCTGCAATGTTACTTTGACAAGGACAAAGCCTGTGGAGTTCCAGCTGGACTGAAGCTATTCTGAAAGTGGGATTGTCCAGGTTGAATTAAGCTAATTCAGAAAAATGAGTCTATCTTCTGGAGCAGGGGTTGTCCTCAAAGAATTGTATCAGGTTCATCATTGCAAATTAGCTATTTGGAATACTGTCCAAAGGAAAAGGAGCCCTCAGTCATTTATTCCCTTTCAAAAACATTGCATTTAACTCTCTGGTGCTAGCAAAGAGTGATTATTTATGTGATGTTGTTTACATTCACCAATTTCACCTAAAGAAATTTGCAGACCCTGAATAAAAAATACAGTGATATTTTTACACACACTGCTTGCATATGACAGTAATGAATGCTTTAGAGAACAAAAATCACCTGTGTGCTTTGCACAAGTAAAATGTTGGGCCACACCACATGCTTTGCTAGGCGGTCCCAACCTGGGACTGTGATCTGGTTGGACCAAACAGGCAGTCGGATTTTGCAGTTGTTTCTCAGCTCTGCAGGCAAACTGCTTCTGATCTGATAGAGTCAAAGAATCACAGAATTGTAGGGGCTGGAGATCATTTAGTCCATCCCCTCTGTTTTGAATATCTCCAGAGAAGGAGACTGTGACCTCTCTGAGAAGTGTGCTCTGTCACCCTCAAAGTAAAGAATTTTTTCCTCAAGTTCAGATGGAACTTCCTGTGGTCCAGTTTGTGTCCATTGCCCTTTATTCTTTTGCTGGGCATTGCTAAATAGAACCTGGCCCATCCATTTGACTCCCACAGTTTAGATATTTATAAATATTGGTAAGATCTCAGTCTCCTCCAGACTGAACAGTCCCAGGGCTCTCAGCCTTTCCTCATAAGGCAGATGCTCTAGACTCCTAGTGTTCTTTGTGACCCTCCGTGGGACTCTCTCTCAAAATTCCCTATCTTTGTTGAACTGGGGAGCCCAAACCTGGACACAGCATTTCAGATGTAGCCTCATCAGGGTAGAGTAGAAGGAAAAGATCACCTCCCTTGACTTGCTGGTCACACTCTTTTTAATGCATATTAGGATACCATTGGCCTTCTTAGCCACAACGCACCACTGCTGGCTCATGGTCAACCTCTTGTCCACCAGCACACCCAGGTCCTTCTCTGCAGAGCTTCTTTCCAGCAGGTCTGTTCCTAGCCAGTTAGGATGCATGCAGTTACAAGAATCACAAGAATCACAAGGTTGGAAACGACCTATAAGATCATCCAGTCCAACCGTCTCCTCATCACCATTGCCACCACTAGCACTAAACCATATCACGCAGCAAGTTACTCCTCCTGAGGTCTAGACTCTACACTAGCTCTTGTTGAACCTCACCAAATTCCTCTGCACCCAATTCTCCTGCCTGTCCAGGTCTCAGTGAATAGAAGCACAGCCTTCTGGTGTGTCTGCCACTCATTCCAGATTCATGATCAGCAGACCTGCAGAGCGTGCATTCTATCCCTTCATCCAGGTCATTGATGAAGACACTGAAGAAGACCAGGCCCAGTACCTACCCCTGCTTGCCACTGCTTGCCACAGGCCTCCAAACAGACTGCACTACTGACTTCAACCCTTTGAGCTATGTTGGTTAGCTTGTTCTCAGTCCACCTCACTGTCCACTCATCTATCTCACACTTCTCAAGTTCACTTATGAGGTTGTTATGGGAGACAGAAAACAGTGTTTTGATCATTGCACTTCTTCCTTTTTGGATTCTTAAAAATGTCAGGGGTATTTTGGGGCTGGAGTAATGGGGCAGTGAGGCAGAAGGCAGTGGTGTTTGGGTGCTCAGCTGGTGACTCAAGTGAAGTGCGTGTGTTGGTGATAGTGAGCTGCATTGGCAAAGGCTTTCTATCAGGTAAAAGTCAGAAAAATAAGCCCCACCCTCCCTGCCTTGGCACTTGTACTATTAGGGTGGTTGGGAGTGTCAACAGCGAGTGTCAAACTCAGTGCTTTACACAAAGAGATTGACATTTTCTATATCCCTCCATGCTAATGTAAACAGCGGTGAAGCCAGGGCTGTGTGCTGCAGCTGTAGCCACTGCTGCCTTCTCTGCAGGGTCAGGCAAATCTGTAATGAGTGATCTCTCCAAGGAGCTGAAATTTCTTAGTGTTCTGGGTTGATTTTTGCAGCTGTGAGAGCCTTCTCAACTGTAGTTACCTTTTGGCAATCAGCTGTAACTGTGGCAACTACTGGAGTGATCTAGCATTTTGTCTTAATTCTAAAGGCAAAAAAAGAACATTATCAAAACATTTTTTGTTGTTCTTACTTTCTTCTTTTCAAGACTGAAATACTGGATAAAACTGACAACTCTGCAACGCTCTGAAGTTTTTGTAGACTTTCATTTTCTACTCAACAGTGATCTCCACAGTTGTCTCATCCAAATTTCCACTCTTGGGCTGAGCCTACTGTGGGTACTCACCTCTTCCCTGCCCACCCACTGGCTCATGCCTCCTCCCAGGCTTCCTCCTGCTCCACTGCTGGTTTCTCAAAATGACTTCTTCTTGTGGATACCAGCCATCATCTTCACACCAAGAATGGCCCATGGCTTGTGTTTGTATGGAAAGGCATTTGCAAAATGTGTCTTAGTGCATGAACACCAATCCATATTAAATAGCACATGTCAAATAACACAGCCACAGCAGTTTGCCCCAAGTCCTGCTAGTTGAGGAGCTGGCATGCGAATTAATACTCTACTCTCAAAAAGTGCAATAATCCCATAACCCCAAGATTTGTGTTCTTTTGCAATATGGAGGCATGTTTCAGATGCTTACTGCTCGGGTGCACAGAGCCTTCCAGTCCCCTTCTCTACCAGAAGATACTGATGGGGTTCTGCTAGAAACTGCTCATTTCCTTAAACAGGAGAAAGCACAGTAATGCAGGACCAGGAGGAGTTATATGTAAAACATGTCAATACAGCAAAGCAGAAACATTCATAACCCTGGGCTTAAAATCATATGGGGTCTTGTCTTGATTAGAGATTACAGCCTTATTTATTACCAAGTGTGGGTACCTCGGGAACAGACTCATTTTTGGTTTCTTTTCAGCTCTGTTTTGTCTTCTGTTCTGCTTTCTTCTTTACCTTGAGCACACATTTACAGGCACAGCAGCTCCAGGGAAGGTGTTCACAGTAATATCAGTGCATGAGTACACCCATTATTAACTTTCATGATGTAAAAGAGTTAAGAAGGCAGTTTACAAAGCATTTCCAATTTAGTGTAACCATTAAAATGTAAGTTTAATTATGTACATCATGACTTAAACCTCAATGGAGGTTGGTTGCAGGCACAAGTGATCCACCCACCTTAAGCATCTAGCAGAACTCTTGTGTGTAAGCAGCAGCTCAGGCTTTCTTTTCACCAAAAGATTGTACTGATCTGACTAAACCCTTTTAAACAATCACTCATTAAGGAAACCATAGCATTACTTTAAGCACAGTTGGATTTGCTGGGGTTTTTTTTCATTAGCTTATGTTTACTAAGAGGATTTATGCTAGCTTTTTATTACTCTGACACCAACTTACGCCATCAGTAGCATTCCTATTTTTCTGACTCCTCTGCATTCTGCTGAGCAAACATTGAGCGGCAGACCGTAGTGGTGTGACTGTAACTGCATCCCAGCATCCTGCATGAATGCACTGCTGGCTGAGATGGGAAGGCAGGGCCAAGACTTGTCCTGTGGGTTAAACAGCCATCCCTCACTTCAAGAAGGATCCCAGGCAGATGGAAATGTCATCACTAGGATGTTTATAGGTGCTTGCAACTCATAGTTCTCATTAAAAAACCTTGTTCTGTGTTATTTCTTTGAGGGATTATGATGGACCTGCTAGGCTGGAAAGAGAAAACCTCCCCCTCATTTAGAAAAGCACCAGAAAGAAAGCGAGAGCATACTGGCTTCTAGGAGAGAGGTTTAGTCATTCCTCCCTGCAGAAGGATGGCAGGAACACTGCAAAGTTCATTTCCGAATCAGAAGAGCGTGTGAAGGCTGCTTGTTTTATTCACTACATTCATTGTACTTCACATATTACTCATAATATTAAAATACCCAAGTCACCTCGCTGTATACTGTAGACATTTAGCTGCCAATTTTCAAATAGTCGTAAATGGAATGTGATTGCTTGAGCCAGCCAAAATAAACTGGGTTAGATTATCATGTATGTCTATGTGCACATAAATGCATGGGGGGAAGGGATGACCACTGTGTGTGTGGGAGTGCTTAGCACCAAGAGAGAGAAGATGATAGCAGTTCCTATTTGGACCTGCTTGTGCGTTTCTTCCCAGTGTGTCATATCCTTCAGCTGCCACTTTTAATGTCCTTTACTCACAGATGAATGCAACTGAGCTTCTCTTTGCTGTTTGATGTTGTTGGGTCTGCAGTTCTATCTGCCAGCTCACTCCTCTGCTTCCAGCAAGTATTACAAGGGCTTTGTTTTACTGTGGACCTGAGGAGGTTTGATGTGGGTCCCTGCAATTCCCACATACCCTCTGCATTTCCTTCTAAGCAGCAAATACCAAGCTTTGCTGTGACACTGCAGTGATGCCTTGGCCTTGCAGGATGTTGTTGAATGCACCTGGAAATCCTCCTGAGATCCTCTGCCAGTGGGAATCAGGTTGTCTGTGTAGACCTTATGAGCAGAACTCATTTCAGCTCTTTGTCACTAGATAGGGCAGTCCCAAATCCTCATACCTCCTGGCTGGACAAATCTGTGTGCCTGTCAAGTAAAGGCTGTACTCAACCTTAGTGGGGTTGCTTGAAGGTGGTCCTTCCTTCCCAGCTGAAATCTAAAAGCCCTGTAGTCCTTTGAGGATTTTAGCTCCATGCTTAAATGTGGCAAAAATCACCAAGCATCTACAAGATCAGGGATTAGCTAACAGATAGGAAGACTGTATCAGTCTTCTTTTCTTTAGGAATCAAAGATGAAGTCTGCTGTGAAGCTGTAAAAGATGGAATTGGGATGGGGAAGGAAGGAGACTTCTACCTTCCTTCTGCTAGTACTGGAACAGGTTTGGTCTCACCTTTCACTAGCATTTCTTTACCTTTGCCCTCAGACTTCACCTCAGAGATTTAGACTGATGTGTCATCACCCTAAGTGCATTCTGTGTGTTTCAGGAGCATTTCAGGGCTTCATCCTGAAGCACTTGAACTCATTTTAGCAACCTTTTGAGGTGCGGTCTTGTTAAATTCATGGGTTTGGTAAGCATCTCTGCCAAGCATGTGGATTGCTTTGTAGAACGTGCAACACTTTTCAGCGGTTTGTCATTCAGCATTTTAGCATTTGTGGGGATGGTGGCCATGTGCTCCACTTACAGACTGTGCTGGAAATGTGGCTTTCTGTTGAGCTAGAGAATTCTGTCGCTCTTAATCATAGTTTCACTTGTGGCTGATTGCAGAAGAAAATCATCACCACTAAGAAACATCTGCTTCAGGACAGTTACATACATCAATGAAAATGAAAAGGAAGCATTGCTGTAGGACAGATGGTTAGCACGTCGTTTTGTTTCTTGTTGTCTGTCTCAGAAACTTTCCACCTGTTGTTCTTTTTATGCAGCCTTGGTTTTTCTTTAGATGGAGCAAGAGCACAAATTTTTGAGAAACAGAAAACCGTGTTTTGTAATCGCTACTGTTGTGTTGTAAGTGTTGCCCCTTTATTGAAAATGAATGAGAGATTGATGAAATTGCCTTAAAATTCATAATTGTGTAGTGTTTCTGCCTTTTATACTTTTTAAAGAACTAATTATTTTTGAGATTCCAGTAACCCTGTTCTAATAAATTGATGCTTTATTTATGAATTGAGCTTCAGGTCCAGTGTCCAGACTTGACAAACACTGGTTTGTTAGTAAAGAAATCAAGTAATCATAAGTGAGATGCCAGCAATGCTTGAAAGATCAAACTGATGTCATAGCAAAGTTGTAAATTATCTCTGTAGTGAGCCCATAAAATATAGGCAAAAATATGCTTAAAATTATACAGAAGTACCTGGAGTATATGAGGATAAATTTTCTGAGGTTATTGATTTCAGGTGCGTAACTATGAAAATTGTGAAATTGCAAAAATCAGAAAGAGATGCTTTTCAAAAATGTCATTTGTTTTCTAGAGTATAATTCATTTTAAGGGATCTGAGGTACAACCAGCAGTCACCTGTTACTTTTAAGAGTGGTACTGTGGTGTCTGGGAAGAGATATTTGCCGCACAGTAGAAGCGATACCTTTCTAAAATGTGATCTGGTGCTAATGACTCCTCCTGTTCTCTTTCAGTATCCACAATGGAGTAATAGCTGTGTTCCAGCGTAAGGGTCTCCCCGATCATGAACTTTACAACCTCAATGAAGGAGTCAGGTAGGTGACTCAGCTCTACTCAAGGTGTCATTAGCTGGCATGCGCAGTACGGTTTGCTAGGACTTGCAGTTGGAGTATCATCTTTCTTGATATGTTGGTTTGAAAATAAGGAAGGAAAAACAGGATCCCATCCTGAACACATAGCAGTGCAGCTCTATACCACTGCAAATATGCCATCCTTTCCACTGATGCTAAGCCTGTCTCTGAAGTGCTTCCTTTGCATGCATGTATGATATAAAGCCTTCAAGTGCTCAGGTGCAACAGAGCAAGGAAAGACATTGTGCCTGGGAGTCCCTTCCATCTAGCTGCTCCTTCTGTGTGAACTGAATGTGCTCTAGATGTTATAAAGCTGTCTTGTCAGCAGAGTGACCTTAGTAACACAATTTAAGGTTCCTGTTTCTCCGTCATGCTGTGCTGATGCTGTTTCAGTAGACTAAATATAGACCGGTGAGGCATATAATGTTGTAGGTTGTTGGGTTTTTTGTTTTTTTGTTCTGTTTTTGGTTTTGGTTGTTTTTTTTTTTGGTTTTTTTTTTTACATGAAGAAAAGTGAAGGTGAAAATCCTATCATTTTAGTCATTTAAGTTTTTGTTACAAAGAAAAATCTATCAAGACATAAGCTGACAACATGGATTTACAGCATCTGTGATTATTTACTAAACTGTCTCACTGACAAGGGCAAGTAGCACATTTCCTTTTCAAAGCTTGTCCCGGTGCTTTGAAGAATAAGCAAGGGAAAAACAAGCCACATTTACAAAAGACAGACAGCTTATTGCATTCCCTCTCTGTCTTCAGATAAATCCTCAACGACTCCCTATCATTTAATAATTATTCCTGCTCTGTCTGGGCACCACAGTGTGACAACATCCATAGAATATCCAGAAAATGCTGGTCCAGTCAGGATAATTGTGGGAATATCTTCAGAGAAGTCCAGGCAGATTACATTTGGCCAATGAGCTCTCTCTTTTTTCCTCTTTCTTTGTCTTTTTAAAATTAAAATAAACTTATTCTTCAGTTATTTCTTATTTCTCTGGGGAGAAAATGACACGCAAAGAATAGATTTTCTAGGATGGCTGTCAGTTAGCATGATCCATCAATCATTTTGAGTTGGTTACTGGAATAATGGTTGATCATTACTGTAAGTGAAGCTAGGATTCTCCAGCTTCATCTGAATGACAGAAAATGGTTGTTCTGGGCTGAGATTTCCTGGTCCATTGCACTTGCCTCGGGATGCTTGTCTGCTGGTAAGGAACAGAAGAGGAAAAGGAAATTATCCTCTGAGGATACAAGTATAATCTTGTATGGACCAATAAACAGAAGTAAAATTGCTGCTATCTGGTAAACAGCACCCGGATTTTGCATTCATTCACCTGGGTGTAAGCCCTGCACAACGATGATACTTGCTGGTACAGCTGTGTTTAATTGCAACATCTGAGGCAGCAGAAGAGGCAAACTGACTACAGACTGATTTTTTTTCCAGCTAGTGATGGATTATGATGCTGCATGATAGGCCTGTTTCCTTTGTTAGTGTAAGAATAATGCTGCTGCATTGTCATCATGGCTGATCATTCAGTTTTGCTCTGTTCTGGGAGGAATAATGTCTGGTGACTCACACCTGAACTGATGGACCAAATATTATGAAATCTAGATCGATCTAGAAAGGCGCTGTCATAAACAAGACATCAGCAGCATCACTTGTTATGTGAGTGAATGTGTGATGGGCTGCAGCATGGCTTTTGAGGCTGGTTCACATAGTTGTGTCCCTGCTACAGGTATTTGATTCCCACTAATCAAATCAAGCTCCAAATGAGAATCATGTTCAGGAAATGTATGACTTTCCCCTTACAGCCTGGAAAGTAAGGGCAGGTTACTCAAAGGAGCCCCAGCCTAGAGGTCGTTCCCTCTCACCTTCTACTTGGCCTGAACATCCTTCTAATTCATTGCCAAATTCCACCCTTTCTCTTATTGACTGCTTGGACTTCTTGGTGAAGCTTCTCAGTGTGTGTCCTGCATGCAGTTCATTCACACAGAATTCTAAGATGAGAAAACAGCAAATGGACTAAGAGTACAGAAAGCTCTGTCTAAAGAAGAAAGCATGGTGGTGATATTTTTTGAGCCTGTTTGTGTACACGTCCAGATGTGGCCTCTTTCTTGAATCTGCATTCCTGCTAGTTTCTTCATTTTACTGCTGATCATAGTCATTAACTTTGTGGAACCTCCTGACTATTTGCAACTCAAACCTTTCTCTTCAATTAAATTCAGCTCAAACCAACTTTTGGTTGAGACCAACTTCACACATACAAAAAAATCTGGGTTACTACTCTTGATATTTAATTCAAAATATTTTATTTTGGTTAATATTAGTATTCAGTGTAAAAATATCTGGTTTATAAATATGACCTCAGAAGTGGGACAAGTCCTTGTTTGCCTTAAGATTGTTTTAGATGTATTTTCCCAAGAAGTACATTAATAAAATGAAACACATCACCATTACTTCCGTGGAGCAAAATTTTTTGTATGGAAGTGTTTGAGTTATCAATAACCTAGTATCAATAGCCTTTTTCAGCATTTACTGAATGGTAAAGGAAGTTTTTTGTTTTGACACTTTAATTGGAGCAGATTCTGGAGTATTTTCATAGTTAAACCTTGAATACCCAGTTGACCCACAGACCAAGTGTTAATATTTGAGCACGTTATTCCTGTGATGTTTGTGCACCTTCATTTTGATTCAGGAATGTCACAGTGTTCCATTACCATATGTCACGCACATGGGCAAATACAGCTTCCTAGCCTGAATACACATGTAGAGGATTTGTACTCTGATTATTTATGCACTGGTTGCTTAGTAAGTGTCAGTGGGTACAAATCAGTACAGTATCACTTACTGCTCTGCGTTTGGCCACTCATTTATACCGGTGCCTTTTGACACCATTGTTGTGTAATTACTCTGGTATTAGAAGGTGGCCTTAAGTAAGAAGTTGGATAGAACTGAGGAGCCCTACATCAAAACAAGAACAACAACCAAAACAAAAAACCTAAACAGTGTATGATTTCAGTTCATTTCAAATTGCCCTACCACCTGAATAAAGATGCATCATAATGCAGGTACCAGAGAAGATACTCCAGTAAGAGGAGTCTCATCAATGCATGTCTTGTACATTACTTCTTGTGAGCTCTTACTAGATAATTCAGTAGGGGATTGATTAAAAGTTTAAGTAACAAAAATCTCTATGCATATACTTACTACTTAGTATTTATCTTGGTTTATTTGTGCAGTGGAGTGGAAATGATGGTACGTTTTCCATTTTCATTTCATATGTCACAATATGTCATTTCAAAATGTTTATTTACACCACTTGTAAACCAAGGAAGAAAAACAAGGTAAGGGAAATGCAGAGGAAGCCCAATATCCTGTGTTAAGATCAATACACATTATAGCTCCCTTTTTTTGAGTTTCAAGATAATGTTTTGATCAAACACAATACACTTCAGTGTTGTTTCCTCTTTTGTAGCAAAAGTTCAAACCCAGTTAGATCACATCCTTATATTTGCTTCATATAATCTAATTGCTAGTAAAGATAAAATCAGGTATAATACTGTCTTAGACTTTAAATTCAGTACAATTACCTACAATAAGGAGACCTTATTGGACTCTGTCACTTCCTGAAGGGAGGTTGCAGTGAGCTGGGGGTTGGTTTCTTCTCTCTTGTAAGCAGAGATACAACTAGAAGGAATGGCTTCAAGCTGCGCCAGGCGAGATTCAGGCTGGACATTAGGAAATACTGCTTCTCTGAAAGAGTCATCAGGCACTGGAATGGGCTGCCCAGGGAGTCACCGACCCTGGATGTGTTCAGGGAATGTTTGTACACTGCATTGAGGGACATGGTTTAGTGAGAACTATTGCTAATTGGTTGGACTGGATGAAGATTTTGTAAGTCTTTTCCAACCTTGGTGATTCTGTGATTCTGAGTAATGTTTCTAGAGAATCTCAAAATGAACCAAGGAAGCAGCAGCAGGAAGATTAAAAAAGACAGGAACTATTTTAGTGTGTTTTATGTGCATTTTTGCTATCATATTAATTTATGAAGGCATTAAACAGGCAATGAAAGTCTGATAATAATGATATACAAGCATCATAAAACTGCATAATGACTGTCAGCAAAATCAGATGCACGAGTCTTCTATCTGATCAGTGATCTCTTACAGGTTTAATCAGATTTTTACCTAGATTCCACCATAACATCCACTTATCTAGATAAATTTACTCAGCAATCTGAATTTTCCAACTTCTGACAGATGACAACCCAATCGATTTTTTTTAAAGGAATTTAAATAAGGATTGAAGAATAAAGAGCAAGCAGTGTGTTCTGTCCAGTTTCGTTGTGGAACTCTGAAATGAATATGGTGCTGCAAACTTCAAACAGCAGTGCTCTGCTGTGGCCTGAGGGCCTCACTATTTCACTAGAAATTAATTAAGCAGTGTGAAGTGTCTGTTTTATTAGGGATTCAAAGAGCAAGATGCATTAATTGCGCTGTCAGTTTTTTCTACCTTGAACCAGAGGTGTTAATGTAGCTGTGCTGCATAATGTGAAGCAGTCCAGTGCGTACAGTCATAGAATCATAAAATCACCAAGACTGGAAAAGACCTCCAAGGTCATCCAGTCCAACCTTCCACATATCACCAATATTTCCCACTAAACCATGTCCCTGAGTGCGGTATCTAAACATTCCTTGAACACCTCCAGGGAATGGGACTCTACCACCTCCCTGGGCAGCCCATTCCCAGCTCCTTACCATTCTCTCGGTGAAGAAGTATTTCCTAATGTCCAAAGTGAATCTTCCCTGGAACAACTTGAAACCATTCCCTCTAGTCCTATCACTAGTTACATGGGAGAAGAGGCTGACCCTCAGCTGGCCACAACCTCCCTTCAGGTAGTTGTACAGAGCTCAGGTTACCCCTGAGCCTCCTCTTCTGCAGACTGAACAATTCCAGTTCCCTCAGCCGCTCCTCGTAAGGATTGTGCTCCCCTCACCAGCTTTGTTGCCCTTTTCTGAACATGCTCCAGGGACTTGATACCACTTTTTTGTAGTGAGAGGCCCAAAACTGAACGCAGTACTCAAGGTGTGGCCTCACTGAGGCTGAGTACAAAGGGATGGTCACCTCCCTGCTCCTGCTAGTAACACTATTTCTGATACAAGCCAGGATGCCTTTTGGCCTTCTTGGCCACCTGGGCACACTGCTGGCTCACGTTCAGCCAAGCGTTGATCAATATTCCCAGGTCCATTTCCCCTACACTGTCTTTCAGCCACTCTGCCCCAAACCTCTAGTGTTGCCTGGGTTGCTGTGGCCAAAGTGCAGAACCTGGCACTTGGTTTTCTTGAACCTCAATCCTGTTGGCCTCAGCCCATAAATCCAGCCTGTCCAAATCCCTGTGTAGGGTCTTCCTACCCTCAGGCTGATGGACACTTCCTGCCAACTTGGTGTCATCTGCGGACTTACTGAGGGCTCTGAATGCCCTCATCCAGGTCATCGGTAAAGATGTTGAACAGGACAGACCTCAACACTGACTGTTCCCCCAGTACTGGGGAACACCACTCGTGACCGGTCACCAGCTGCATTTAACTCCATTCACCACCACTCTCTGGGCCCGGCTTTCCAGCCAGTTCTTTACCCAGCAGAGTGCATCTGTCCAAGCCTGACGGTTTCTCTGAGAGAGACAGTGTCAAAGGCTTTCCCTCCTCCACCAGCCAGGTCACTGCATCACAGAAGGAGATCAGGTTGGTCAAGCAGGACCTGCCCTTCATGAACCTGTGCTGGCTAGGCCTAAGCCCCCATCTGTCCCACACATGCCATGTGATCTCCCTCAAGACAGTCTGCTCCACAACCTTACCTGGTGCCATGATCAGGCTGACACGCCTGTAGTTCCCTAGATCTTCCTTATGACTATTATTGTAGATGGGAATCAGACTGACAAGTCTCCAATCCTCTGGTACCTCTCCAGCTAACCAGGAACACTGTTACATGGTGGAAAGCAGCTTGGCAATCACCTCTGCCAGCTCCCTCAGCACCCTATTTGGCTGGATCCCATCTGGCCCCATGGACTTGTGGCAGTCCAGGTGGAGTAGCAGGTCTCTAACTGTTTCCACCTGAATCATGGGGTGTTTACTCTGCTCCTCACTCCAGACTTCCAGGTCAGGGGGTAGAGTACCCCAAGGACAATGGTCTGACTTTTAAAGACAGATGTAAAGATGGCATTGAGAACCTCAGCCTTTTCCTTATTCTCAGCGGTCATGTTCCCCGCTGCATCCAGTAAAAGATGGAGATTCTCTTTAGCCCTTCTCTTACTGTTAATATATTTGTAGAAAAAGTTTTTTGTTCTCTTTTAAACATGATTCTATGACATAATTAACTGCAAGCTTGTTGTTTAGTTCATTCACAGCTGAAAAGTGGAAATGGGGTGGGATTTTGTTTTATCAGAGGGCCAGTTATTAGATAAGTAGAACATCATTTTTTATTTCTTTCTCTAAATGCCAAGAATTATCAGTAGATATCAGTAGAATAAAAAGAGAAAGTATTTGCATATCACCTGTTAAAGACTACGAGGAAACTAGGACTAGACTTCAAAGAGCTGCTAGCTTGCGGAAAGGGTAGATATTTAAGCATAGTAGAATTCAAAACCACATCTTTCTTGTTATTTTAACATAAAATTGCTTAATTATCTACATTCAAAGTAAGAAAAACCTTAAGTTCCATTGCTTGTGATCCAGAAGAAAAACAATTTGGACAGTAAATTACCATTCTGAATATGCATGGCATGCATAGCATCCTTTTACTTGTTGAAGTAAGGGCTGGTGAACACTTCTAATGCTTTAAGGTTTAACAGTATTGTGGGGGCATGTGTTCAACCTTGATGATGGGATTGTCAATGCATATGGGAAAGGATGGAGTCTCAGGACTCTGCAAGGATTGTTCTCTCCCATATGTTGTAACAGCAGGCATGCTGAGAGGTCTACCAGTACAGTGGTCATCCATGGCAATGAGAGACATACAGCTAAAGCCTGGACTGGCTTAGATAACTTTTGTTTATAGACAGTTTGTCTGAGTTGATCAGATTTGTAACCAAAGAGGATTTAAATGATTAGAAGCTTCTGAAAAAAACTCTTCATTGTGTTTATTTTCCATTTCCTTCATGCCTGGAGTGTTTCCCCAGTGTGCTATGGGGTCAGTGTGGACATGCACTTGAGGATAAATAAATAAGATACTGTATTTGGGCCTCCTAAAGATTGGCCTGACCCTCCTTCCCCTGAACTTTCAGAAGATCTCAGGAGGCTATGCTGAATCCCATGCATCAGACAACAACTCTGCAGACTTCTTTATGGGAGCATAGTGTTATGCTGGGCTTTTCAAACTGGACATGCATTTGGTTACCAGTTGTAATAATTTAATTACTTGTTTGTTTATTAAAGATATAGCCTAAAGGGATAGATGATAATTTGGTACCAAATGTGTAGTTTACATAACTACACAAATGATCAGAGCACTGAGTTGTCTAGCTGATGCAGGTCTTTAGATTTTGAGTTGAATTTTACCTCATTTCTTCCTGGTTTCCATAAGAGGCCAAGGCCTGACTGGCAAGAGCTCAGAAGGTCCAGTTGGAGTGAAACTCTTAAATGGTCTGACCTCTTGCTTGTGCATCTTAACAATGACATGAGTACAAAGAAGTGCTAAACATCTAGCATCCAATATGTGAGACTTAAACAATATACAGCTCTTCAGCTTTGTGGTGACTTCTGTCTGGATGGAACTGTTGGGCTTGTGGGTCTGGAGGAATGCTGGCTCTTGACATGAAAGTTCTTTATGGTAGGTTGTTGTGGTTTTTTGGATGTGAATTTGGTTTGCTCTGTGAGATGAGTTTATAGGTTTTAGTGCAGAGGAGTCATGAAACACAGGGTTGAACTGTTACGTTTATACCTGCTTTTTCACTGAAACTATATGAAACTTCAGCTTCATGGATCCTGACTTGGAAGATCGTGACCCCTTTCAGAAAATTCACTACATTTCATACCTGCAACAACACCTGCGGAATATCGTCTTGTCTCAGGTTTCCCTCTAAACATTTTGTCATGGCTCTTTTGGGGAGTTACACAGAACAAATTATCTGGCTGTGAGTACACCTCAGCTAAGTTACATGCCCGTTTGTTGGCTCAGCCGCACTGACAGACACAGAGTGCCAAGATTTCTCCCACATTTGCCACACCAGACACCAGTCAAACCCTGACACTGAAGAAGAACAGCTCAGGCATTTTTGAAAGCGTTAGATGTAGGATGGAATACAACCTCTTTCAGTTTCTTTTCATATGTGTTTGTGCAATGAACCATCTAAAAGAACAACAGGTATTTTGCACCGCAGAGAAATGCTGGTTGAGAGTCTTAGTATTGTTGGCCCTGTTTGTTATAATTTTAGTTAGCCTTTATTGGCAGGCCGTGTGAAAATATTTTGTTATTAGCATCTTCCCCTTTCTCATACAGTGAGCAGCTAATACAGTTTGTTGATTACAGAGGTCCTTTTCATATTCTTTTTATACAGGCAGTTATTGAAAACAGAACTGGGATCCTTCTTCACTGAATATTTACAGGTAGGCATATGTTTTCTTTCATTTAAATCAGAAATTTTTTTACATGCTACTGAGGAAAATCCCTTCCCCTGCTCTAAATGCCAATACGGAGTCACTTGAAACCATTTAGAGATTTCCATTGACTTCTCTATGTTGTCATTTATGAGTAAGTGAGATCTGGGGTTTATACATACATTCAGATAGTGAAACCCCAGTACCTGCAATAGCTTTGTGCAGTTGATGTTTTTTGTATGGCACTACCATCTTTCAGTAGATTTCAGACATTCACTTGTAACTTAAAATTTAAGTTCCTGAATAAAGCAACTAATTTCACTGTAAGTAAGGTTCCTAGGAAAGACAGTTAGTACTGGGTACCTATCATCTATTGAAGCAGTATTCTTTTCTGAGACAGAATACCTGCAGTGTCAGTCAGACATTTGAAGTCAAGGAGCACTTTGCACGGCACAGAGTAGGTGCTGTGTCCTGCAAGCAGTAGGAGATTACAGCATTATTTGAAAAGTGTCCCAGGCAAGTTGGACATGGCAGGAAAAGTCCTTCTGTAATTGATCATCAAAATGAAACCTGGTCTACTGTCAAAAGTTAAGAAAGATCAAAAGGTGAAATATGATGGCTACAGGGAAGTATATAATTAAGTAATGTTAGTCTTTATTTTATTTACAGAATCAACTGCTCACAAAAGGCATGGTGATCCTAAGAGACAAGATCCGGTTTTATGAAGGTAAGTTGAATTTTAGCATAGCTACCTATAGTGTCAGAGGACTTTTAGCGTTGCATCCTGAAAGCAGCTCAGTTCTTTCTGTGAATTCTTCTGTACTGTGGATTAAGAGGTATCAGTCTATTCCTCCAATATGTTGTTCTGACATAACATGATGTTCCCACTGACCTTCATCAGGGAGAAGTGACAGCCCAGAGAAGCTAGAGAGTAAAGGATTAATACCTCGGATGTAGGCACTTCCTTCTCCTCCAATTAGTCTACTCAATATTAAAGAAAAGAGGAAAAACAGAATGACTTTGAGATCCAAGTTAGTTGAAGCGCCTGTCAAAATGCAGAGCAATGCTGTGGGTTGTCTTAAGAGTTGTTTTGGATTCATGCTTACATAAATGAGGTCAGATGCTGTCTCTTTTTTTACTGTCAAGGCAATGTTAAACTGCCTGCACCTTCTGGAGGTGTCACCTTGTAGAAGTAAACATCAAGGTAGTTTCTTTTATGTTTGGAACAGTCCAAATTTAAAATAAATGAATACAGAGACAGGGGATGAATTTGTGAGTGCGAAGCAATTTCTTCTTTTTTTTTTTTTTCATTTGTGTGTGTGCAAATCTGGAGAAATGTGCCCATTAGAATTAGTTCCCACTGATACAGTGGTGTCATTTACCCAATCTACATTTCTCGGTCCACTTGTTCTCTTCCCTGTCAGTGTAAGCACCACAAAAAAACTTGAGCCAGTGTAGCTTTTGAATAATCTACGTGAATGCAGAAAGGTATCTTCTCTATGTGCCTCGGGCAGTGCATGGGAAGAATGCAGCAGGGGCAGATGTGTTTTGCCTGGTCAACTTTCAACCAATGCTTCCTATTGATGGCCACCCTCATTTCCTGTCCTATGCTATTCTGCAGCTTTCAGATGTGTTATTCAATATGCTCTTCTGTCTTAGATGTAGGCATACAGCATTAGAAAGTGACATGATTTTGGAATATTTTCAAAGATTATTGAATGTGTAAGTGGTCTGAAGATCTTTGAAGAGTCTTTTTAAAGAAATGTGGCTTTCCCCAAGCAGAGCTGCAGTCATAATATCACTTAGTATAAATATACTGTTTTAGCAGTAGCCTGGAGACAACCATTTCCATTCATTTCAGCTATCTCTGAACCTTAAATGTGACCTTTCATTACTGGCAGAACAGTTGATGGGTATAAGATGGTTCTATGAGATCCAACTTTTCTGATAAAAAGACAATAGCCCAGAACACAACAGAAGGAGAACAAGTTTCACATTACAGTACTCAAACTCTTCTGAGCGAAACACTGAGTTCCTCAGTTACATGAAATAACAGCTTGGAGAGCACAATAGAGCTGTAAGGCTTTCGAGGTCTTTGTAGCTGTTTTGTATATCACAAAGAAAGTCATTTTTAAGGATCAAATTGGTAAATTAGATGCAGAGAACTACCAAAGTTCAATCCCTTGTTCTTAAGGTTTTACTAGCTTGAAAATGAAAAATACTACCACTGATGTTTGATGTCCATGCTGAGAAAGAAAAATTGAAATGTAAGACCAGTAAGTGGCTTTCAAATACAGGAGTGTTTTTATTAAATACCAAAATTTCAGCAATCTGGGCATTTATTTTTTTTTTAATGTGGTGAATCATTTTATGTTATCTCTTTAAAATATGATCAGAACTGCTGGTGACTGTTAAGTTGACCAAACATACGCTTGGAAAAAAAACATGGAAATGTCAACTCACTGAAGGATATAGGAAGGCAGCTGCAGTTCAGGAATCTAATTTAGAAGCAGAGATCTTCCTGGCACAAACTTTTCTATTACCTTACCTTTTGAGTTGCTGGTCGATGTGAATTTCCAGGGCTGGAATCTGGTTTTCACAGCAGCAAAGGTGCAACACTGTAGAGTCCATCCCATAGTTGCTGATCCCATTTCTCTCTCAAAATACCTGCCACTAAGTTGGGAGCCCAGAAGTCATGAAAGCTCCCATTCTGAGCAGGTCCTTGGTCTCTCCAATGGAAGGTCCCTCCTTGGTCTGTAGTGGTCCTTCCCTCAAATCTCAGGTTGTCCTGCATCTGATGGTGTGGGTGTCTCTGTCAACTCGGTGTTTTCAGAAGAGAACAGGTCATTTCAGAGCACACATTGGAGTGGTTTTGTTCTGCAGGAAGTTCTGAAAATTTCAGCCTTTGTTTTGAGAAAATGGTATTTCAGTCTTCTATTTCCTTCAGAATTTTCAGTTAACTTCAGGAAATGCTGAGAAATGTACAGTGTGTATTTTCAAGTCATACAAAACTGACAACATTACCCTTCAATTAAATGAACATTTGAAGTAACCTAGATTTCTTGAATCAAGCAAATACTTAAGGTAAATATAGGACTCTTTGCCTGACAGTAAAAGAAAACATATTCTTGAAAGGACCAAGAAGTCATATTCCTTGATGTGAAAGATGCTAATCATCACCACACTACAGGAATTCCTCCTCAGCCCACAATAAAAGGCCTGCCTGGTGAAAATTATCTCTGCAGCCTTTCTGACTACTGCACAGAAATCCACCCCTTTACAAAACAAGCTGCCCACAACATGGAAGGAATGTGCTGTACTAAAGGCATCCTTATCACAACCACGTATTTCTACTTCGTACAATTTGGGAGCAAAATTTGAAAAGGACTGAATCTAAATATTCAACACCCACATTTTGGTTCCAGATTTTTTAAAGGCTTCCTTTCCATTTAACCTGAATTTATGGGCAGCTAATTTATTTAACTGTTTTTAAAAATCTGCCTTTCTGGCTTGGTGTTATTTGGATTCTCCATCATGATCAAGTTTTTTGTCGCTGAAACACAGTTTCTTATGGAGTTTATAATGCAGTGGTATTTATTACAATTACTACTGCCACAGCTGGTAGGAAAAAGACAAATTAAAAAAAAAAAACAAAAAAACTGAAAATGAGAAGACCCTTTTCAGTCTAGTACAGGAGTGTGTAGGACAGAGAGAACCCCTGCCTGATATTGCAGATATGAAGGTCTTGGAATGGATCATCAGCTGCAGTATAGAATAGCGATCTGGATCTGGATTTGTCACTCAAAGCACTCTATGTCATCAACCCAGGAGCTGCAGCTGGGCCAGAGCTGCTGCTGTTTGTCTTGCATTTAAAAATGCAGCAAGATGAAGTATCCCATAATAAAGATTGGTACTTGTCTAACTCAGAGTATAGGTGCTTTCATGCAGATTTTCTTAGTGATATGTGTACAATTCTGGGCAAAATGCTCCTGGCTGAACCTTAAATAATGCTGTAGGACAAATATGAATAGTTTTCGATTCTGAAACCAGTATTGAGATTGCCATTAAATTTGCATCCTGATAAGTCATGTTGTCATATCTGAATGCCTCATGTCATTCATGTGTTTATGTCCAGAATACTTGCTGGTGTGTGTGCCGTTGTCCCCAGTTCATGGGTGAGGGGCAGAAGGCTACTGAAGAGCTTGCCTCTGTTCATATAGGCCTCTTGGGCCTGCATTCAGCTATCAAGCCAGAATTTCTGTCCTGCAGCTCTCAGGTCCTGCCTTTGCCTCTATGTTTTATATAAGATGTTCTGTGAGGAACTCGGTGTTCAGCTTGGTTGTATAATCCAGGGCTTCTCCAGTGTGTCCTGTGAAGGCTTCCAGGTAGCTGCAACTGGAAAGGAATTGAAGAAATTCCTGTCATGTCATCACAGATTTGATGCATCCTTTGAAAGCTATAGGAAAGCGGAACGCCTGCAGCACCATGCTCTGCTTTCCATAGACCTTGGTTGAGATCAACTGTGTAAGGGTAGATGTAAGGAAGCCGAAAGGTTGATGTATGGGGTTGCTTTGTAGAAGCATCTCTACGGAGTGAGCCTTTCTCTGCTGCCCTGTGGCTTGAAGTGCAGAGAGAAAGATGGTGGGGGGAAATTTCCTGCAGGAATGCTTCTACATTTAATCTGCTGTGTCCTCCTGCTGTTTCCTGCAGTCTTGTCCAGTTGGAATTACTGCAGGAAGAGGAGGAGGCATGACTCTATTCTTCACAAGGTTTTTCTGCATAATCTTGAATCTCAAGTCACTGAGTTTAGTAAGAGCATTAGTTTTGTCATCTGAAAAGACACAAATATTGAATTATTTGATGTTCTGAAAGAAATACAAATTCCTTGCTACTGAAAGTGTGTGGTAAATGATTCATCTTTATATAGAGCTAGCAGAGTCATGTTTTCAGTTGGCTGATTAAAACCAAAACAGTTCACTAATTTGTTTTATGTTTTTGCAGGGCAGAAGCTGCTGGATACCTTAGCTGAAACCTGGGATTTTTTCTTCAGTGATGTCCTGCCCATGCTCCAGGCTATTTTCTATCCTGTGCAGGTGAAAAATTACACTGTTACTATAGAATCTTGAAAAACTGGAAAAAGCAACCTTACTGGTTCGTCAACGGATTGATGCAATCCTAAACTCTCTCTCCTCGGGCCAACCTTCCATTACAGCTCTTCTGTACAGACAAGTTATGCAAATAAGTCACTTATGCAAACAGATTTGAAATGCTCGGGTGAGAAAGATGAAGGGGAACTTTGAAAATAGGTATAGGATGACTCCTTATGTCAGCTCACACTAGAAGTCCATGAAGGTCCTGAACAATAAACTAATATGTGCACACAGGGAAATAAGTGGAGCTGTGTTGACTTCAATGCACACATTTCCTCCTCTGCCATATGAATGCCTGTGAAGTACCCTACTTTTAAGAAGAAGGTCAAATTCTATACTACTTCAAATGGAAAACAACAGTCAGTAAAGTTAGACAAGTTAACTTGAGCTCAGAGTTTGACTCCAGTAATTTAAAATCCATATTAGGTACTTGGTCTGATTTGAATGAAGGCTCAAACTTCTAACTTACTGATGGTCAAAGGAGTGTTGTTTTTTACTGAGGTCCTAAGGGAATTTGTCCCAGATAGTCATAAGTGTTCTAGAGTTATTCTTGGATACCTATAGGTTTTTTGGGGGAGTTCACTGCCTAATCATATTTGGGAAAGCTTTGGAAACTTTCTTTAATTTTGCCAAATGGACTTTATGCCTGAAGTGATTGTGCAAAGGTCATCAGCATTACCATTTTACAATTAACAGAGTTAATTGAAGGCATGAAATATGAATTAAGTGGAGAAGTTGCAACTTTACAGAAAATTTGATTCTGAAAGAGGAGCACTCTGCAATCATATATATTGCTAGCTCACAGACTTGTGTCTGCCCAGTAGAAAGTTTAAAATGGTAGAGAGAAGTTGATATTAAAATCTGTTAGAACATCATGATTTTTCATAGTGACATATAAGCTAAATCCAAAGGGTTTAGGAGCCTAGGAGTATAGCTAAGTTCTCAACCTGATTTTAAAAAGTGCTTAACTAAATTAGAACTCGGATGTTTTTGAAAATTGCACCAAATACCTCTTTTCAATATTGTGTTCTTGAAACATTTGAAAATAACCTATCAATGCAAATCTTTTCATTTTTCAAATGGAAATAATTGCTTTAATTTTCAAAGAAGCCTGAAGGGAATAAAAGCCCTAAGTTCCAGGTAATTTCAAATAGATCTAGGTCCCTGATGTTCTAAGGTTATTTCCAAAAACCTAACTGATGTTCATGCACTCTTGGGAGTTCTATTCACTGGCAATTAAAGCAGATTTGGGGGCTTTCTTTACTTTAGTATAAATAATTACACAAAATGAAAAGGAATGACGGTATGTAGGAGTCAGCTTTTGTTCTAAGCTAATCTAAATCAGTGCTAGCTGAAAACCAGATTTTTCAGAAGTGTTGATATTTGACTGGCAGCACTCAAAACTGCAGGCAAGAATATGCATGTACAGCTACATAGGTCTGAAGAAAAATCCCTAATCCCAGCAACTGGAACAGTTTTACAACTTCTCATTAGGCATAAATGATGTGCTGTTAATCTTTGTGGGCAAAGCTAGCATCACATTTTTCAGATCAGATTTTTCTAAACAAGGTGTGATTCTTGCACTGCAGAAAGATATCTTGGAAAATGCAGTATGAGACTTCAGCTTAGTTCTTGCCTTACACTGAAAACCCTGAAGCTGAAGAGAGCATTGGGATCCACAGGTGGGCTGAGTCAGTAATTACACCATAAATTGAAGAGAGTACCCAACCACTACTCAAAATCTTGAGAAATACTGGAGATCCAGCCCTGCTTTTCCATCCCTACTTTCTTTTATTTAACACACTGTATGTCTCCTTGATGTTAAAGTACAATATGTTCAATATATATCCTGCACTCAGGTAAGATTTTCACCTCTCCTCCCCCATCTCTCATTATCTTCATATGTAGCTGTACTCATTCATTGTCTGCGTATTCAGAACTTCGGAGTCAAATTCACTGTGCAGATTTGTGGGCTGCCCTGTTTCCTTTGTTGTATTTCCTCTGCTTTTCACTCAGGTTGATCATTCTTGTAATCCTTCAGAAGTGGGGAAAAGACTGAGGATATGGAAACTCGTTTTCACAAAATTCATAACCCATTTTTCTTTGTTTCTGTTCCCAGGGAAAAGAACCCTCAGTTCGGCAGCTGGCTCTTCTGCACTTTAGGAATATAATTGCCCTCAATATTAAACTAGAAGATGCATTATCACGTTCCAGAGCAAGAGTTCCACCTTCTATTATTCAAATGCTGCTAATACTCCAGGTATATTGATACTTTTTCTGACTGTTTTCTTTATGTGTCTTTCCTTACTGTATTGCTCAAGTCTTCTTTAGCGGCTTCTAATTTTAATCCTTCACTGAAAAGTTCTTACCCAAAATTCTATAGCTTCTATGTAATTAAATTTAATCTTGATAATATCTGGATCTGCAGAATCTCAGATTGTATGCTTAAGATTCAGGGGGTCCAAGAATACAGACTAGTTTTGAAACCATAAGGCTTAAAATAAGAAGTTTTGCAAGCAACCAGTGTATGTGGTAATAACATGACTTTCATGAAGTGCTTTGTGTTACTGCACTAGCAGTTCTGGATATGAAGATTCACATCTGGAGTAGGCAACAAAACAAATTTGCAATTTACAGTCATATTTGGTCACTAGAAAGAAATTCAGTCAAAACTGTGAACACAGTAGCATTAAAAGCAAACACTGGTACTTGCCTTCTGTGTTAAAAGTTTTATTAGTAATGAAGAGGAGGAATTCAGGTCAAAAGGCAAGTGTATAAAATGTTTTCTTAATTGAAGAAAGGCATGGCCTTGTGTTGAGAAGGAGGGTGAGACAGAGAGAGGGAGAGACCCAGGAGTGGATTTCCTATGGAGTGGGAGAAGTTGATATTTTCTTGGTTGGTTATTTTTTTAATAACCAAATAGATTTACAGCAAACAAAAGGATATGGTTTCTCACACTTAATGAGTCCTGTGTCTGGAGTGATTTTAAAGGGCTTGATAATCTAAAAGCTGATAATAAAAATGGAGCAAGAAGATGACCTCCACTTTGTCAAGAAATAGTGTTTCATTCAGGGGATTACAGAGTGCATTTGTTGAGGTGTGTAATGGTGTGTTTAACTTAGTTTTCTCAAAAAAGTTCCTTACACGACAGGACTGCCTGGTTGCCGCTTACTACCTTTCTCCCTAGACTCCCTCTCACCAAATGTTTATTGAAACTGCAGGCTTACTGTGACACATTGACATTGATATCAGAGATATTAATATTCCTATGAGTTCCTTGGAAATTACTGTCTGGAGAGAGGAGAGGAACCTCAAGGAAAAATTGGAGTAAGAGCTTAACTGCATAATGAGACTTCAAAGAATTCACATAATTGAACTGTGAACCCGACTGTGTTAATAGACACCAGAGACTCCACATGAGAGAATACCATTATGAAAATCTTAATCACAGGAAGGTTTTCTACCAAGCCTCCTCTTCTAGACGTAAGGTAAACTGCCTATCGGAAACCAGCTTCAGAAGTGTTGTTACTGACATCTGCTAGCTTTGTTGTGGTTTCTTCTTTAAAGGATCTGCATTAGCTATGGGCACGATCCTGCTTCAAATGAATTCCATGGTGAGCTAGAAAATGAACATCCTGATTCAGAAAGTTCATGCGGAGTCCTTTGCCAGGATCAGTGCTACAAGAAACAGTTTGTTGACAAATCTGCTTTCTTCAATAACCAAAAGAGTTAACAAGTTGTCAAGTTAATCCATTCCCATTGCAAAAATGTCGGTGGAAATCAATTAAAAGAAGGAGAGGGAATTTGCCCGTGGGTGTTCATTTCTGCATATGTTACCTACAGTTTTGTGGTGGGGATGGTGAAAGTCCTTTATTGGCAGTTGCTCTGCCAAACTTGTGGTTTAAAATCTAATGGAAATTACAGGAAAAGGACAGAAGAGGATCTGGGAAAGAGCTACTTACATGCTTAGCCCATGGTTGCCAATAATTGAACTTCAGAGCAAAGACTTTCTCCCAAATGCAAATTTCACATTACACAAAAGCGATTTTTTTTATATGTTTATGACATAATAATGGAATTTCCTCAAGATAGATTAGCTCAATATGTGAATAAGGCTGAAAGCGAGAGAACAGTTCAGCTGCCCAAAAAGTACATAGTGATGTTGTGTGTATAAATATCCCAGACTGAGAGAAGATGCTTTGGTGTAGGCATTATTTAATCCCTATTCTGTGTGCTATCTATATCACTTTCCTAAGAAGCTCAGTGATACTGCAGCAAATTCCCATGGCTGGAAGATGATTCTAGTGGCCCTGGACAAAGTGTTGAACTTGCCATGAAATTTCCTCATTTCTGTCCTTGAAAGTGTTCTGCAGTTACATTACATAATTACAGACACATCATACTCTTCAGGACAGAATCTGTAATGTCAGCTGAAGGTCACAGTTTGACAAAGGCACATGCTTGCATGTACCAGTCTGGCCTGTTGGACTCGATTAAAAAAGCAGAGGTTTGGTAACTAGTACAGGGTGCATCTGATACTGCTCATGTACTATCTTGTCATAGCGTAAAGGTAGTGCTCTGTCAGTCTGGCAGAAGACACCTTCCTTATGGAGGGAAAAGGAGGCTTTTTAAAGGGGAAATAGAAGCAGCAGCAATCTTTGAACTTTATTCAGGAGGCAGGTTGCTGATCCAGCAAAGCTCAGTAAGCAAGTATTTTACCTGAACATGGTTAGCTTCACTGACTTTAGCACGTGAGCAACTTTGTTGGCCTCTGTGTGGTTACTGACCTATTGCAAGTTTTACGTGTACTTTGCTTGCTCAGCTGGCACCACTCTAGCAAGGAGATTAAAGCAGTCTCTGACAAAGACCTCCTGGGTAACAGGTACTGAGATGAAGTTGATCCCCCTATTTCATTGTTTGAGTGATTGTTTTGCCTTTTTTATAGCAAATCGTTCTTCCTGTCCAGAGTAAACTATTTGCTTGGAAATGTGTCTACCAGCTATGCACTTAATACTGTAGAATGGAAGAAGTGCCTTGTACCACTGATACTTTCTGCTGCCAGTACGGCCTGACCCACTTACAGAGAATGAACTGAAATGTTAATCCTTTGTGGCCACTTAAGTTAAAGTGCCTCCAGGCAGGATGCTCCTGTTTATCTGGTAGAATCTTCAAGAACAGATTTGTGTTTGAGGGAAGTAAAAGAAGAGCTAAAAGCTTTTGAGCACAGGTATATGCACTGGAGTGCATATCATAGAATCATAGAATGATCTGGGTTGAAAAGGACTACAATGATCATCTAGTTTCAACCCCCTTGCTATTTGTAGGGTCACCAACTACTAGACCAGGCTGCCCAGAGCCACATCCACATCAATACACTGTGTTATCAGTCTCACCTCAATGACCTTTCTTTTTGGGTGGAATTAGGAAGGTGGAGAAAGAGGCATAAACAGAACAAGATATCACAAAAGAATTTTCTCCCATATATTGTGTGAATCAAAGAGAGTAAAATACTGCCAGAGGGTAAACAATCTACCTTATTTTCCAAAACCCGTATTGCCTAAGGTTTTTGCCACTGAAAATGGAACATCTTGTCTCCAGGTATCTTTCTTGACATCTGAGAAAGTCAGAAGTGGGAGAATTAAAGAGTGTTTATCTGCATCTTTTGGTTGACATCAGGATTATTTGAGTTCAAGAATGTCTCTAGGTCACCCGAGATTTTTCAAAACTGTAGAAAAGCATAGCACAGCCATTTGTGTTGAGGGACAAGGCCTCACTGAACTTTAGATCTAAAGAGAAAAATAAAACTGTGGTTTCCTTTTCGGCTTCTCTGAGCTTCACTTGAAATGCCTTGTTTGTTTTCTCTCTGTAAAAGGAGACAATATAAATACTTAAAATCACCCACTGTGACCTGTATGTTTAGGACATTCTAGAGATAACAAACATACAACTCCTCACACTTAAAAAGATGTGGAAGAGCACATTGTAAGACCTGAAAGTAGATGCAAAGACTGCTGTTTTTCCATCTCAGCAACCACACAGCAAACCAAATACAGCACAGTGGTTAGAAACAAAATACCCTTTTCTATCGGAAAACTGCAGGGGTCTGTCTGTGGAAAAACAGAATTTCTAAAAGACTGTGATGTCTGTAAATCGGAGTCAAGTCGCTGTGGCCATAGGATTTTTAATTCGGTGATTGCTTTTGAGAGGTTTTCCTACTAAATTGTTTGGACCTGAAGCATAACTTGAACAAAGTACTGTGGGTGTAAGGTTTGTCCATACCTTTATTTTCTTCTTTTCTTAGTTTTAGCTGGGACAGAATTGTTTTCTTTAGAGTGTCTGGCACGGTGTTTGGTTTTCATTCTCAGAAAAAGACAATGTTGACAACACACCAATGTTTATAGTTACTGCTAGGCAGTGTTGTACAGTGCCAAGGCCATTCACGTTGAAGGGTCCAAGGATCTGGGAGGGAATAGTATTAGGGCAGGTGACTTAAACTGGCCAAAGGGATGTTCCATACTCTATGACATTGTCATATATGGGTGTATAGAACAAGTGATACACAAGCAATTGCTCACTATCCCCTCAAAGATGCCCAGTTCACCCCCTAAGCGGTGGAAGAGAGTGAGATGAACTCTCACTCCCTTCAAAACTCCTTCTGCATGATGCCATACAGTATGGAATATCCCTTTGGCCATTTATAGTCAGCTGTTCTAATACTATTCTCTCCCAGCTCCTTGGACCCTTCACTGTGAATAGTGTGTGCTATAAGGTGTATATATATATATATATATATATATGTATATATATATGTATATCACACACACGGTCTTGACTATTATCCTTTTCTTTTAATAAGTAGTTCTGTCTCACCCCACGAGTTCTACTTTGCTTGTTTTTTTTTTTTTTTTTTTTTCCAATTCTGCCCCCCCACCTCACTGGGAAGGGAAGGAGGATGAGCAAATGACTGTGTGGTGCTCAGCCACCTGCTGGGTTAAACCACAGTGCTTCTCTACTTTCCTCTTAATTTCTGGTTGATAAGATAAAAATAAAAATAATAATAATAATAATAATAATAATAATAAAAGGAAACCTATAAATAAATATATTGCAGACCCTACAGAAGTATAAATCAACAAACAGAAAACCCTGCTTCCCCTAGTTAGTGCAAGAATGTGTCTTCTTCCTTCCCAGTGAAAAAAATGCTTTGTCTTGTTTGTGTTGTTTGCATCAACCTCACAGACATGTAAGGGGTCAGATCAG